TTTTTGACCCCCCCCATTTATAAGGGTAAAACTTCGTTTGCCCCCCCTCCCATTTCCCAACCCCCTCTCCCCATAAATAATGACCACTCGTTAGCATTGGAGTTTTTTTAATTTTTAGTTTTCAGTAACAGCTTTATTGAACGATGTTCAAACGGTAAGAGTGCGAACGGGACTCAAGATCCATGCGAGGCACTCTCCCTTTCGAATTTTGTTTACATCTAATATCATTATTTACGACAATATTATAAATTGGTAAACATATACCAGCTGATTAATATCAAATTACGACGCTATTGCGCCACATTTAAGTTATCACACATAATACAGATTTGTATAATCATGTTAAAAATTTGAAAGCTGAATCGGGATAAAACAAAACCTGACACGAGGAGCTGGTATATGTTTACATCAGAATTAACTATTTCTATGGCATGAACAGCTACGATACTGAAGACCACGTACAGCACATGTCAACATCAAAACTACTACTTAATAAATTAAAGTATGTTCCTGATAAGAAGGATTTAAACGTTGCCAAACTGCGAAGATCTCTAGGAGAAGCAATTTTGCAAGTATGATTCCAGAGTGGAACAATACGGTTAAAGAACGATGACTGAAAAGTGCTACTTTTACATGACGGGATTTTAAGCACTAGAGAAGGATTATTACAATTACTGGTACGACTATGATTAACAAATGACACAAAATCGAAAACATCCAAATCATAAAAACCATGCAAAGTTTTAAACATAAATGTCAAATCCTTAATTTCCCTGTCAACGCCAGTGGTAAAAGATTCAGAGCCAGCAATCTGTCCTTGTAGGTCATGTCACCTTTCTTTGATTGAAGGATCCATCTTGTTGCACGCCTTTGGACTTGCTCCATATTTAATTTGTTATTATATTGGGAGGGAGACCAAACCTCTATGGCATAGCATAATTGTGACTTGACGAGCGAAAGGTACAGAGTGCGCCGGATACTGCGGTCTGTTAACAAGGGGCATGTTCTTCTAAGCAAACCCAGCAACCTGTTCGCCTTGACTTTTATTTTGTTGATTGTTGATATGGGTTGTCCACGAATTAAGGAATCTTGTATAGAGCACGTGTCTTAGAATAAAGAGAAAAAAAACTTTGGCATTATTTTGTTTGCAATTTTTCATTCTTCTCTGGGAGAGAGATTCAGTGCATTCATTCAGATCATCATCTGATGACAGTCTGGCGAGCCGCAGGCTATTCATGTCAAAAGGCAGAATTACTGGAAAATGTCGAGCAGCACCGCTACCAGGAAATTTTTAACCAAACCTCTTCGTAGGAAACGTTTTTATCATCTTATATCCTGGAATGCCATATAATTTACTTGAGCCTCGGTGAAACAGGGATGAAAGTTGATGCCAGCTCACATCCACTCATGAGTCGATTCAAGTTTTGACGAGAGTTGACGAGTTTTCCGAGCTACGCATGTGCTAATCAACTCTTGTTCTCATTTAACCGGACCATGAGAGTTGAGAAAACTGTCATACAATTTCTCGCTTCTCAACTCTCATGCAACTCTTGTTCTCGTTTGACTGGAACATGAGAGTGAAGAACATTTTCATGCAAACTCGCGCATCTCAACTCTCATCAACTCTCATGCAACAGCTCTTGTTCTCGTTTGACCGGGGCATGAGAATTGAGAAAACTGTCGCTAATTCTCAACTCTCATTCTCGTTTTACCAATGCTTTATTGTTTACAAAAGTGTTGTGCAAGTTGAGATTGTCTTGTGCGGAGATTGAAGTTTCTCACAATGTGCGGCAGAAGTTTTATGTACATATGCAAGAAGTTTTAGATTGGACTAAGGGCCTGTTCATATGGGCAAAAGTTATCCCGGTTAACGAGAGAACGTTTCGACTAGCCAAATACTTTTGTTCTGTTCGTATGGAGAAATATTATCCCACTTACCGGGAAAAGTTTCCGGCTGTGACGTAGCACTGAACATCAATTGAATTGAAAAGTTGCTGACACGACAAAAAGTTATCCCGCTAAGCGGGAAAGTTGTGTTCATATGGGGAAAACATTATCCCGGTCACCGAGATCTCGCCTGTCAACAAGCGAGATCTCGGTACACGGGAAAACTTTTCGTCTCATATGAACGCAATGTAACTTTTCATATTATTTTCGTAACAAGGCGAGATCTCGCTCGTAAACTTGTCGAAAAGTTTTCTCGCTAACCGGGATAACTTCTGCCCATATGAACAGGCCCTAACACAGGAAATTTTGCCAGGAAGCAAAAGCTGCCAGGAAGTAAAAAGGTATTTTCTTGGGCTTGGGGGGTCACAAGGGTAATGTAGATCCTGGAGAGGCAATCCATATCATGTTTCGTTTCTAGAGAATTCCAGAGTACACGAGCAATTTTGAATTTGAATTTATTAAATTTGCCAACAACGTACTATGTACGCACAAATATTACAAATTACGAAAGACTAACTGGCAGCAATTGGATACCAGGCCTCGAATTTCCCTGAAATCAATCGACGGCAATGGCATTAAAAATTGCCGTAGAACGTAACAGCTGTCTACGGCAATTTTGGCAGTTTCCACGGCATTTTTTCAAATTACTGTAATAAAAATTTGATTTTATTGTTACTTTGGATTATTGACAAGCTAAAAACATGTTCACGTATTTCTTTAGTGTTGTTTTTTTTTCGAAGAATAGTAATTTAATTAGTACTAAAATAGTAGTTTACGCATCATTTGATCAACATCTGAATTAAAGTATCAAAATAGTAAATTATGCACAGTGAATAGTATAAAAATTGCACTATACGGCAAAAAATTGCCGTCGTTGCCTCAATAATCCACGGCATTTTGTATTTTTGTTCTCCCTCTACAGCAATTAATTGCCGCGATAAAATTCAAGCCCTGTTGGATACATGACTGGTGTGCCATCCTACCCCCAATGACTAGAATTTTCAGGACTAAACTTTATTATACTGTACAACCTGTACTGTAGAGTATGGTTGCGAATAGATTGTTTTACTAAATAAAGAAAAGGGTGTGGTATAGAAACCAAATACAGGTAGCAACTAAGTGGGACAAGACCGAAATATGTGACCTTCTGGTTTATACATGATCTTTCGTTTGACATCAGCCTGCATGCTATAAGTGTTTCTTTCAGGACAATACTCGTGACAAAAATGAGTTTTCACCATCTTATCGTCGATTGATTTAATAACAAACCGTGAATTTCCTCTTTAATGGAAATTGATTTTAAATATTTTTGTCATTGTGTTTTATATGAAACGAAATATGAAACGAATAATGCACTTGTCTGCACCGACTGTGATAATAAAACAACATTGACATTTTGTTCCGGTTGTAGCCAGTGGGCGTATATCACACATTGCTGGCGTGTTCTTCTTGATGTTTCCTCTTATTATCTCCTCACTGAAATTGTTTGGTTTTCAATTTTTTTAAAGTGGGCCTTGCCCTATGTGTCTTAAAACAAGATTTATGTGATAAGTAAATGCCAAAAATATTAAAACGCCGTAATTTCAATTTTTTAAAGTAATGTATAGCTTTCAAGGCGAAACAGAAATCGCGAGATGTGTTAATTTGTACAGTACAATTATTTTACTGTAAAGTGTAAACTTACTTTACCGTAAGTTTACTTACAAAAGCTGGACTATTAAATAAAGAACAGCATAGTCATCCGTATATACAGTATTCTGGTCTGCGTAGCGCTCGTTTGGCGCTCAAGGGCTGTTCATATGAGACGGGATGAATCGTATGACGGAAATATTTTCCTCGGACCATAAAGGATCGTTTGAATGAACATTCTACTGTTACTAGAGTCAAACTAACATTGATGTCATTTGGCCGTTTATCAAATCTGTGATAAGATCTTACGAATTCCAGCTCCACATGAACAGCCCCGTATTAGATGACGTATATTGTGCAATATTACAAGCACCTTTCATTTGACAGATCAACTGTTTTTATTTGGCAATTTATCTGAAGTAATAACTGAAGACATAGTCGGAGCAGATATACAGAGACACAAATATGACGAAACTTTTCTCTTTCGCAAACAATTTGCTAGTTATATTAATTTTTGTTCGAATGTCTGCGTAGGGAGAACTGAATATAAAAGATTAAAAGGAGAATATTTCAGTTAATTTTAGCATCATGTGGTGAAGTTGATAATCGTTTCTGCTGATCTATTATCAGTATAATTTGCTGAACTGTCACATATTTATTTACAATGCTTTTGACCTCTTGACCCAGAAACCAAGCAGGAAGTCGAAACTGATTCTGGTTCCTCGCAACGAACTTCGAATAATTTTGTAGCATATTTTAAAATTAATTATTGACTTTTTGGTGCATTTTGAAGTAATACACGCGTAAAAATTGAGAAAATCAACAACTTGTTCCAGATTCATATCAACAAGCGTGAACAAGGTTGTGCGGCCCACTATGAACAGTATTATCAACATGTTGTTACAGCATTGTTCAACTGTAACAACTTGGAACAACATGGTTGACAACTTGTTCATAGTTATCCTCACAACATTGTTCACGCCTGTCGATATCAACTTGGAACAACCTGTACGTTTTTAGCCGTGTACTGCGGTACATATATGTCTACCATGCATTAAATATGAATGATCTAAGTCATCTAAATAACCTGCGCGTACATAAAGTCTGCAATACACTGCATGCAGGATGAAATGTACTTCGACATTTTCAGCAAAGTTTCTTCGTTTGGACACTGAATACTGACATCAAAGAAAGCTTCGCATTCATATACAACTCTGAAAGCACAACTTCGACGTTTCGAGCGATGGCCCTTCGTCGCCTTCGCTCGAAACATGGAAGTTCTTGTATTTTTCAGGTATAGTTGTATATCAATCCGAAGCTTTCTTTGCCTCTATACCTACACTGGCTGTTGAAGAATACTGACATACTGTGTCACTAACTGTTTATGTTTTTCATCAGGTGTTCGAGTATCGTGAATGGATTCTTGGCACTAGACTTTGAAAAAGCTGACGTCACATCGTTCTTAAACACCGTTCTTTCGGTACAAAGTGGGATTGTCAAGAATCAGGAAAACCACAAGTAACTTACATGCATATTTATAAATGTTTATTTATTTAGATTTTATTATAGAATTTATAATATTTATTCATATATTTATTTATTCATTTTTATTATTCGAAATCTCTAACCCGCTTTTTAACTATATTGAATTTTTCTTGATGATTATGTTATTCGTACGTAGCTAATAAAATAGGGAGATTAAATCTGGATTTCCATTTACAGAGAAATAGTTCGTCGTCGAAATATTTCGCTTATTTCTTTTGAATTGTGACGATCCGAATAAATCAGTTTACTTGACCGCCGTCACAATTCAATAGAAATTGAGCAAAAAATTTCGACAGCGAAATTTTTCTTGCAAGTGGAAATCCAGCTTAACTGAGCATGCGACATTTTGTCAATTCAATGCGTTAAAGATAGGGATAGCTCATAGCTGCGTGAAACTATATAGATTGGCATCTTCATTTCAAGCACGAACTGCTCAGGACTAAATGTTGATGCCATATTAGGCATATAGTTAATGACTGAATTATTGTGGCTTTCGTATTCGCTGACATGATAAGATTGATACAACAGATATATTAGAAACTCGATGTTTTTACCCGAGTTTTTACTCGGTCCTCGGTTATTTTCTCTTAATCAAAATTTCACCATTGTCATGTAACTTAGGTACCGTTCCCATACCACAAAATTGATTCGTATTGATTATTGTATAATTGGCAATTGGCAATTGGCAATTGCCTTGGTCATAAATTATCATTTACATCCTCGACTTTGTGTGAGCAGTTGTGTGACTGTAATGAGGATTAAAACAGATCTAAAGTATTAGCAAGTTATATTTGTCAAAATTTGATTTGTTATAAAAATCATTGAGTGTCTGAGTGGAAAGTTTGTTTCAGTTGCTGGAAGAGAGCGGAAGTAGCTGATTTGTAATATTATATGCCTTCGAAACCATTATCTCATTCCGGATGTGTGGCTCACATCTTATATATACAAGTGGAGAACAAGGTTTGTATTCAGTCTGCTATACTGTAGAGTGCTGAATAATATATCAGTATATAGCATATTGAGAAATTATAGTTTGCTTGCCGTAGCGTGGTGAATATCGTGTCCGCTCGGCTGTACGTGATATTAAGATGAAGAACAATCGTATACGTTCAAAAATTGATAATTATAAATTTGTCTTATTTGGCTCCGCTGGTGTGGGGAAAACGTCTCTAGTCAAAAGACTTGTTCATGATGAATACAGGATCAACTATATTCCTACGGTTGAAGATATCTACAGATACTTCATACAATCAAATAACCGTCTTTGCAATCTTACTATCGTCGACACTGGAGGAACACATGATTTCCCTGCTATGAAAGAACTAAATATAAAAAATTGTGCTGCTTTTATTCTCGTCTTGTCTGTGGATGATAAAAAATCATTGGAACAGTTCAAAAAAGATGCGCAGACTGTCCTAGAATGTCGACCTAATGCGAGAATATTGACTGTCGTTAATAAAGTTGATATTGAAGAGAGATCATTTTCATCTATACAAGTGATAAGATATATGGAACAGCAACGAACAAGATATCCACAATTTCAGTATAAATATCTAGAGACGTCAGCTGAGAGTAATATGAATGTTCGTGAGATATTTTATGAAGCTGTCGAGTTATTATCGCCTGGATTTAACCAACAAAGAAAAGCGGGGAAACGCGGTCTACCTCAAGCTTGTACAATCTTATGACAACGAAAGAAACTTGCGCAAAGATAATTTTGTACATATATTTTCGTGTGAGACTATACCTCTATTACCTTCCATCGGCTATTTCAATAATCAGAACTAGCGCAATGATTTTCTAAAACAAACTGTTCAATGTCACTTGATAATTGCACCAACTGACGATACTCGTTATTAACATTCATCAAAACCTAAATTCGTAGAAGTGTAAGCGTACGTTAAGACTAAGGCATGCATGACTGGAAAGCATATGGTATATTTATTGTAATTTGACCTAACCATGCGTGCCTGAACTTGACCACCAGAAGGTGTATTGTGAAATTTTGTATATATTGTAAAATTTTGTACATATGTTTTTATATATCAGAATAGAACATCAGATGTGTTATAATATATATATATTTTAAATTAATGATTGAAATTGTTACCAAACATTTGTAGTTTGTGTCTACTTGATGGGTTAGATTTTCGCGAAGATTTATTAATTCTTGTATCCGGATGATATAAATATTCTGTGCGGGTAAAACTCATCAGCTATGACGTAAATATGTATAGTTTCAGGTCCATATCCCTGAAATCTCATACGAATTGTGTGTGTGGTAAAAGCAATGGGACGGCCCCATTTGAAGATTTTCTGCTTTGTCGGCAGGTTTTTCAAAGATTGTGCAACCATTTGCAACGCACATGTGTTTCTACACACAAAATATTGGTCAAATAAGCGCATCTGAAACAACCCATTCAAATTGGTTATTTTAACCAATCTGCTTTTACAGTATACATCTCATTGTCTTTAAAAGTTGTACACAAGCATGACACTATGACAGCAACAAAATCTGCCGCGACAATGAAGGTATATTGACTATATTCAGCCGGGACTATATGCATGATGTCGGATTACGAATCTCACAATGCACGTCAGCACATGTCAAAACATTCAGGAATGCGACTACTATGCCTTTTTCTGATGAAATGTCAGACTATTATTAGCATGATTGGTCGTGAACCACTGAATGACGTGAAAACACGTTTTTTTCAATACATCAGTCAATACGTTATAAGTACTTTGTTTTATGACACTGATAAACTAGCAATATTGCCAATTCGCATAACTCATTGCGACTTTAATTAAGGTCTTTTAATTCTTTAAAGAATTTTTGGTCTTTAATTGAAACTGATTGTAATTAAGCAAGCGTCAGCTTGCACGATTTTTAATCGATATTTCAGGCGAAAACGTTCGTTTTAGTGTGTTGTTTTGAGGTTCATGGAACATTCCCGTGTTCTCGCTTTTCAACCAATCAGCGCAGGCGTTATTAAAAGGTTATTTTATAAATGTCCATAGTCTATAATTATACAAAAAATGATGAGCACTCCTTACGAAAATATAACTTATATTCATAAAAGATAACTTTTCATACATCACAGAATGACACAATTTTTGGACAAGGTCAGGCACCAGGTTTTGCCGAATTCACGAATTGTTTGTACTAAACTCAGCATTTCAGATATTTTGACTTTTGCAAAGATGTGCGTGATTGCGTTGGTTTTTCCGCCTTTATGAAACAAACTCGCTTTCTAACAGTTGACGTCATTTGAAAAACAGCATTTTCCAGCATGTCAGTTTCATTAAAATGCTAGAAGACACGTGTTTGCCATGTACATACAGACACTTGTGGGTGGGAGACTATTTTGGTAGTTCCGCGTGCTGAAACGTGTTCTGACACACAAAGTCACAATCCATATCATTCTGTTCAATATATTTTCCATTTTCAAAGTTTAGAAACAAAAATAATGTATTGCATAAAACATAATAGATATATTTTTTGGTGAAACTTTGACTACCCCTGAGCACGTTCATTTATGCATGTTGTAAAGAACACGATCGTGATTGTCTGCCCACTGGTTAACCTAACGCCTACACATGAAGACATATTTATCCACCCACAATAACAAAGCTTTGGATTGATAGGAATGCAACTACCTATTGAAATACAATGAGAACTTCAACATTTCGAGCGAAGGTCTTTCATTGGGACGTTCATAGCCTTATTATGGCCACTACCTGCACAGCCCGTTCAAGATTACCCCGCCCGCATTATGTGCGGAAATAATTAGCATGAAGACTAGTAGATACATGTACTAATTTATGATCAGCATCATGTGGCCTGTAGACTAATACGAATGCTCTTTGGCATAACATCGAATACGAAAACACGTATTTGGACTTAGGCTCTGCTTGTCTGTACACCAGAAAGCTGTGGATTGAAAAGGATGATTAGTGAACTACCTGAAAAATACAAGCAAAACTTCGACAATTCGAGTGAAGGCTCTTCGAAACGTAGAACAGTTTTGCTGGTATTTTTGAGGTAGTTGAATCCTCAATCTGCAGCTTTCTGATGTTATTTTCACCACCTGCGCTGACACAGACCGCTCTTGTGTCTATACACACATACTGTCTCGTTTACACCACTGAGCTGTATAATAACTGGAGGACCTGCTCCTATACTTCGTTCAGTCAACGAAGTGAAGCCAAAAACATGGCGGATTTTCAGGCAAAATGACGCCATTTCCATGACAACACTTACTTTATTTTCATGGTAGGTACCACTGACCAGGCTCAATTCTGAGCCCACGGCCGTTTTCACACCCCCCTGGTTTTTGCAAAAAAGTTTTGCAGATAATATAGTTTTTGTGGTTTTGAATCGGTTTTTAAAATTTTTCGATATAAATTTTCTACCTTTGACTATTTGGACAAAGATATGCAAGTCGTACGTGTTATTCTCGCCCGTGAAAGACGACAAACAAATTTAAAACCTCAAGAAATGTGGGAAAAGACGAGGATTTACAAAGGTAAGAGACAAATTTTCATATTTCAATTTTTTAATATTTAGACTTTACCTTTATATTGGACACGAAATTGATAAGCATAACGATGAAACTGACACTCTATTTGTTAATAAAACAACTTCCTATTCAATACACATGGTAAAGTGTAAAATTTCCCACTATTTTAGCAAGCTGTGATTCGACACAATCACATATACGAGGAACTGTCCTGCAGTCTAAAAATTGTTTAAAAGCCTTAAAAGGTTGACTCCTAAGGTCTCGTTTTATAAACAGACATAAACTATGATGATGTGCTATCTTTCATACTGAAAAGGGAATTAGGTTTTGTAATATGTACCACTTCAATAGCTAAGGGTGCTGGAAACTGATCTGGGAAGGTAGTTTCTAGTATTTCTACCTAGTTTTCTCCATGGTTGGGGCCGATACTTCTCTATTTTGTGTCAATAATAGTAATATAGAGGCTTCAGATAAATGACACTTTTCCCTAAGCCGAGGTAACAAGGTTTAGCTGAGGTGTGTGCCAAGGCCTCATTTCCAGGATGGCCTGTTTTCTTACAAGTTTTCTCAGTAAATATGAGTGCACTTATAGTTCTGATACCCCTGGTTTAAGCTGAGTCTGTGTTAGGTCACATTCTTTTGTTTACCTTGATCATATGCTAATTATGTTACTGGTGAATTTTTGTACAACCTAGATAATTAATCTACTCTTGTTTATTGCAGATTTATTCCACAATGACACACTCCTCTGGGTGGCAAGTTACAGTACCAAGCCACACATATCTTTTGAAACTGAACATACTGTATTTTAATACACGCTTCCAGAAATTATGTCACCTTGGCTATAGAGTCTCATTTTCACGATTGAGACATTGGACTTTAACTCATGCCACATAGTGCAAATGAGGCTGCATAGCCAAGGTGAAATACATTCCGGAAGGGTGTATTTGACTTTTTTGTAAAATTATTAGCAGTAAACAATTTGAAAAACAAAAATGTATAATCAATTTATTTTAATTTAATTGCTATAAAATTTATTTACACTTCAATAAAGTTATCATAATCATATAATTATTTATGTTGTTATGCATGGTATTGCATGTTGATGCCTCAGTGCCATCTCTTGTGTATATTAAACATATAATTTCTGCAAAATAAAAGATGACATTATTATCATGATACATTATACATCTTTACATCATAAAAATATCATATACACATATGTTAACCCTTCACAAGTGGCAATGTCTCTTGATATGCCTCACTGTATTATTTTAATCTACCTAATGCCAGACAATTTTAGTAGTCAAGGGGAGAGTGCGAATACATGATCTGTTTTTACCAAGACCATTGATCCAAGCTTCAACATTAAGTGTCATGTTTCAGCTGAATGCAATCACATTCCTGACTAACTGCTAAAATATGTCAAACTTAACTATTATGAGCAAATTTCATCATAATTTCTCACAGGCCGTGCCATGGCCAATCGGACATCACGTACTACTCCCAATGTTAGAAAGTGCTCTAATAAAGTGTTCAACCCCACCAAAATCTGCTTCAACCCTCCTATTTTGTGTGAAAGGCCAACAACTAAAACACCTAATCCATGCCAAAGTTCACTGAGTGGTGAAATAAATAAAAATCCGCCCTTGTTGCCTATGTTGTGATTACCTCATGATTAGTGTATCATGCAGTGACTCACTTAAGTCCCGGCAGCCCAGACTGCAGAGTATGGCAAGTGCACACCCGAGTTTTTTTTTGGCCAATGGTATTGCACACTTAAACATATTTAAAATATTTTCCAGTTTTGTCAGGCATTAAAATAAGGACTTCTAAGACAAGTGTAATATAACAACCACCTGAATATCGGGAACGCTGATTCATGAGCGCAAATGAAAAATGTCCATTAAAGTTTCGAATTTCTAT